ATCTTTCCTGTTGTTCTGTTGTTTCCTAATCATCGTTCATGTCATTACATGAGTTCTACTGGTCTAGTCAAAATTCAGTCATCTCGTACTGTTTAATGCTCAAGACGAAAGAATCATATTCATAATCGTCAATTAATAAACTAGCAGATGGGAATAAGTAACAAAACAAGCGTAAGGACAAGCGTAAGGGTGTACACCATATGCTATATTAAAACAATCGAATTCATCTACAGACAGACTGGCCGGACCAGTCAGGAAAAAGACGGAAGAAAATGCCATGGAAAAAGAGAAAAGAAAGACAAAAAGAACAAGAAAACACACTGACTGGTCCTGACGCCGTTGTCCGCTTGCTACAAAGAAAGAAAATAGAGCGATGCCGACCTGTCGTGCTGCCTACAGAGGCACTTCATCCAGTTGTTCCCCTTCGCCTTCTCTGGCACGAGCCGCCCCGTTCTCCTTTGCGGCTGCTTTTTCGGACAACTTAGCCTCTTCCTCTGCCTCTGCCTGCTTGGACTCCTCTTCTGCTTTGTCTTGTTCTTTCTTTTCCTCCTCAACTTTCTCCTTGGACTCCTCCTTCTCAGGAGCATCCTCCTTGGGAGGCGGCGGTAGAGGTTTTTCTGTCTTGTTGGCTTCTTCCTTCTGGTTCTGCTGACCAGCTGCCGCAGAGGTCTGCTCGCCTCCTGGGAACGGAGTGGTTGGTTGTTCCGCAGCATGCTCCATTGTTCCAGGCCGTGATGGGAGAGTCGTCTGACTCCCTGTAGGAGGCGCGGGTTCAGACGTTGTCGAGGCCGTCGGCGGAGGTTGCTGGTGCTGGTGCTGAGAGCGTGGTCGCGGTCCCAACTGTCGATGCTTGGGATCCGCATTCAGATAGTAGCCCCGGACTGACACGATGGTACCCTCTGCCTCACACGCATCCACCCATTCTGGACGCACAACCGGGATGTTCATCTCCACCGCCTTCTCCCACAGCGGACCTCGACCCTCCGTACAGACAAAGTGAGTCGTGTCAATGCGTACGGTGTCGATCATCTTGCCCCCGATTCGATCAAGCGTTCGGGCCAATGCCTCCTTCACTGGCGCCGGCATGATACCAGGCGTAACCGTGATGCCCGACAGATCAGTCATTTTGTGAGTCCGGCAGGTTAACTTCTCCGACTGATATGTCCCGGCCGACGTCCGCAACACGAGGTGGAATGTGTATTCGGTGTGGATGGCCAGACCGCTGATCTTGGTGCTCAGCATCTCCAGGGGCCGCGGTATTGAGCCTGCCTTGGAGCCATTGCGGTAGAGGGACAGAGATTTGAGGGACGCGGTAGCCAGGTCGATCGGGTCCCATTCCAGCACCAGGGATGTCTGAGTTGCATTGCGCAGGCGTAGTACGGGAGGACTTGGGGTGCGGAGACCATATGTGTGCAGAATCCTCTTCTGAAGCGCCTGGAAGGAGGCTATGCTGGCTTGTTCGGCGGCATGGTTGCGCGAGACCTCGATATCGACGATACTGCCCGAGGTGATGTTCTTAGGGAGGAGGACCGATGGGAATTCGATCTGCGGGAATCAGACGTTAACACCGCACAGAGACATTTGAAATAGCTTGAAATTCCAGTGATCCATGGTCGTTTTGAATGGTGTCTGGAACTCTGGATGATCCAGGGGCACGTACCAGTCGGTTGTCCTGGGTCAACAGGACCGCAACGCCAGCGTCGACCTTGCCAACGGTCAAGGAGACCAACATTTTAGTGGCGATCTAGCAAGACGACGAGAATGGCGAATAGTCCACGTTGTACATGGAGATTATGTGCGCTGGAGTCAAATAGTCAGAGATGGTTGTGTCGACAGGCCAGGCCTACCCCGTAGCTAATAATCAATCGATTGATTGATTACTTGCCAGATCGACAGACAGCTGAGCGCCAAGCGCCACCCGCCGCGCGTCAGCGTTACCCGATCAGGAAACATGTTTTTCGGTCGGCAACAGCAAGATATCCACAGACTATTGGGGAGTTCCTCGACATGGCAATCTTAACAAGGCTGGAACCAATACGCTTTGCAGTATTTCCACAGTGTCTTTTACTTCATATATCTAAAGTTTCTATTAGTTCTATGGGTCTATTATTGACGGTCTTTCCGTATATGTTTTTCGTCTTTGGTATCAATGTGATGAAGATTTCGACTTTTCCTGGCCAGGCCCACGTTTTGGCTTGGATTTCTGCTTTTCAGGAGCCTTTTTAGGAGTAGGAGCCTTGTTCTGGGAGTCCTGACCCTGAGCAACCTGCACCAGGCTGTCGACCAGCGACGCCATCTCCTCCTGGACCGCAGGAAGCCCCTCCTTGATCGATCGTTGATTCACTATGATTTCCACCGTGCCTTTCAGCCCGACCGTCGGAGACGATGACCCTTCCTTTTTGATAGGGCGACCCTCGTGGTCGAACCCCCGTTCCTCCAGCGCCTGCCGGAAGGCCTTACGCGCCCTTCGCGCGCACCACAATCGGACGACCCTCTTGAGCGGGAGATGGTTGACCGAGACTCTCCACCAGAGCGTGTTCGGGTCACGGTTGGCGTACATGTGCAGGATCTTGGGGCGCAAAGGATGCGTGTCGATGGCAACATATCTGGCGGCGATAGGGGTCATGATGCATCGGGGAAAGTACCGCAGCACGAACTGGCTGGTATTCTTGATGGTCTTGAGACGCGGGAGAGGCATGATGCCCGGTCACAATTGCGGACCGACGTCAAGAAAGGCACACCAGTGGAGTTCTCGAGACACGGCGGTCCTCATGTCGTCATGGCCAGATGTGGAGTACGAAGGCGGCCTCAGGCAGGAAGCCTCAGCGTAGAGATGAAAGGATAGACAGCAGCGCAGCGTAACGGAGCCTTCTTCGCCACCACTGTCCTGAAGGCTCGTTGGCGTAGTTGTAGATAGAGAAGCAGGATGATTGCAGCGAACCGTGGAAGTCACGAGATCTTTCCAATTCGGTTGGAATTCCAGTCGGGTTTTCCGGCAGAACTCCGGGCGGTACGCGTTGAGGCGGTCCTATTGGAGGAAAGTTGGTGCCTCACGGAGTGGCGAGCCTCAGGCAGAAACAGTCCGAATCAGGCCGAATCGGGCGTCGAATCTGGCTCGCGCACCCACTTTAAAAGCCCTCGAAATTCCCCTCCAACCTTTCACCCCGACAACAACAACAATTCACGTCCACGCTGTCACCCCTCCGAAACCATCCACAAAGACCCTGAAATCTACCTGGATAGGAAAGTCTCTGCGTGATATCTCGAAAAAGCAGCCACCATGCCCAAGAACAAGGGAAAGGTAAGTTTTTGACCCCGCTATACCCCGCCTTGCCACGACATCATCGCGACTGATGCTGACTCCGCTGAACAGGGTGGTAAGAACCGGCGTCGTGGAAAGAACGAAAACGACAACGAAAAGCGTGAGCTCATCTTCAAGGAGGAGGGCCAGGAATATGCGCAGGTGGTGAAGATGCTGGGCAACGGCCGTCTCGAGGCCATGTGCTTCGACGGCGAGAAGCGGCTTGCGCACATCCGAGGCAAGCTGCGGAAGAAGGTCTGGATCAACCAGGGCGACATCATCCTGCTCTCCCTGCGCGACTACCAGGATGAGAAGGGCGATGTGATCCTGAAGTACAGCGCCGACGAGGCCCGTAGTCTCAAGGCCTACGGCGAGCTGCCCGAACACGCCAAGATCAACGAGACCGACACCTACGGCCACGAGGGCTTCGAGGACAACGTCGAGTTCGACGAGGACCGCGAAAGCACCGACGAGAAGGAGATCGACGTCGACGAAATCTAAACTTCCCACCTTTCTGTATCCGACAGAGCCGAAAGCAGCTCAGGCGGATCTCAGCCTGGCTCTGTCGGAGATCGCTGCCACGGTCGATTGGATTCTCTACTTCTAGTTCCTCAAAGGCGAATTCGACTAGGAAATACTGCGCAAATGGTATCTTTGCGAAATCATCTTTCCTCGTGGCTTAAGGGAACACTCCGAGCGTGTCGGCCCGTGGTCACACAACATCGCCACTCCCTTGATCACATTAGGATGATGGGGCAAAGGCTTCATCTTGCGCGTCTGAGATCTCAAACGACCTGGTAGTCCTCGTATCGAATAATCTCCTTTGACGACCTGCTCCGATATCTACTATCTCACGCTACTACATGGAGGAATGACGGTTGCGAAATGCATGAAAGGGTGCTTGTTGCATGCATTTTCTTTTTCTTTCATGATTTTTCATGTTGTTCCTTGAGCTGGATTCAAGTTTTTTCTAGTGCTCTGGTGTGCTCGCGCCGAATTTCTCTTTCCTTTCCTTTCCTTTAGTGATGATGATAATGTCTTTTGACGGTGGAGAGAGACAATGTCGCCCAAAAAAGAAGTTTTTAGCTAGGCGCGAGTTAGGTAGACTCGACGAGGCCAAGATACAGTGATTGGGAAAAAAAAAGTTTTCCTTCCTTTCCAAGTAAATACCGAGTAGTCATCAATCATCTCGTAAGCGGTTCCAATCACACAGTCATACAGCCAACGAACGCCTTCCGGTGCTTCGCCAAAGGTAAGACAGTATCTATACAGAATGCAGACTTCATATGCAGACTTCATAATTTGAAACAACCAAAACATGCCATCACCCTGAATCCATCTAAGAACAAAAAAAAGAGGAACAACTATAATTCATGAATTCGAATTCGACGGCTCAACAACCTCCGGCTCATCCTCAAAGACATTCTTCCGGAAAAACCGCACAATCTTCCGCGCCGTTTCGCGGCCGACCAGCGGGTTGAGGTCCTCGACGTCCATGTTCGCGATCTCGTGGATGTTGCTCGTTTCCCGGATCAGGCGCTCCAGGACGACTGGGGTGACGCCCGGTACGGCACGGAGCATGTCCTGCGGTAGCTGGTTGAAGGTGCGGTGCTCGATGCCTGCTGCGGCCATGACGGCGTTGCCCGGGCGGTGCGACGGGGGGGGAGGAGGAGGAAGAGGTAATGTCGACGTTGAGCCCGACCTGCACCGCCCGGAGTGGGTCGGGCTCCGGGTTGTTCTTTTTCAGCTCGGCGAAGATCTCTGCCGTCTGGTAGGGGGAGGATGACCAGATGATTTTGAGTCGCGGGAAGGCGAGGGTCAGGAGGACGAGGAGGTGCTGTGCGGACTTGGGACTGGTTGGGTTCACCAGGGCGCTGTTGGCGGGCAGGGCGACGGCAGGGGTGCCGGAGGACGAGAAGACGTAGTCTGAGAAAAAGCTGGTACCGGGAGTGGATGCGGACGTGAATGCGTCGAATGTGAATGACTTGTTCTGGTCAAACTCGATCAGCAGCAGAGGGTTCTTGTAGTGTTGCAGCATTGTCTCCGCCTGGTTGTAGAGACGGCCGTTCCGGAGCGAGCTGATCAGGTCGCGGACCGACTTGCGTTCCACGCAGATGTCCGGCGTCAGGACGTAGTCTCCCACCGTCAGCTGGCAAGGAACGACCACCATACCACGGCCATGCAATAAGGATGGCAACGCGCTCCGGAACTCGCGGACATCGACAACAACCGTTGGAGGCGCGGCTGTTGCTGCCAGTCGACCGCCACCGGCAATGCGTGTGTTGACTGTCCTGAGGAACTGCTCTTGCGGATCTTCTTGGCTCTTGTCGTGCGTCAACGTAACAGCCATGCCCTAAGAAAGTAGATCAGTTAGTCGGGAAGATGAGCAAAATCAATTGTAAATTGCCAACATACCCCCTTTTCCTTGATCAGTTTTGTGAAGGCGTCCTTTTCTCGCCGAACCGCACTGAGGTACCGCTGTTCCTCCACAGAGCCGCCATAATACATAAAGTACACTCGCACATTCCGATCCGTATGAGAACTCCGGTAGACTTCGACGCGGCGGATAAATGCAGCGTCGGGTTCGTACATGATGATATAGCGCGGGCGGGCTTCCTCCAATATCCGCTCGTCCATATCGCCGTCATAGGGGTGTATCATAACGAGGTCATTCATGTCGTAAAGCTCGTAATAGTCCTCCATATCTTCCAGATCGTCAACAATGACTTCTTCTTTTAGAGTCTCCTCTACCCCTCTGGGCTGAAGATCTTCCAGCAAGTCGGATACTTGCGCGGGTCCTTCGATTTCCGCTTGTACACTGGTGTTAGGAGTACGGCCAGTGGCAGACGAACCGGTTCCTCCACCGCGGACTCGACGCCGCTTGTTAGGAGGCGCTCTGCTTTGAGTAGTATTCAATGACCCAGACTGGCTTTGCCCCCGAGCAGTTGGCGTATCGCTCGAGCTTGGTTTAGAAGTGTACAAGTTTTCCTTGACCCGTGAGAAATTCCGTTTCCAATTCAGATATTCACGTAACTTTCTTCGCATCATCAGTTCGGCTGACGGGCCGTCTTCTTCAGCACTGGAATCCTTATCGGCATCTTCGACATGTTTGTCAAGCTTGACATGCATGGTCTCCAAGAACTCGCGAAGCTGCCGGCAAGTGCGTTGATCACTGCACATGATCAATATGGTACTGTTCGAATCATCACGGCTCGTTGGATTAAGATACATGTCCTGCTCGATTTCATTAAGAACATCTGCCAAAACATGCCACTTCGGCTGCTCCTCCAGGACCGGCTGGAGAGCTGAAGAAAAGGAGATGGATGAAGAAGAGGCTTCATTGCCAGTGATTTTACCCCGATACACTCGTGATTTGGCGGTTTCGAAGAGAATGTGGGCGGCGTCGAGGAACAGCCACGGCGAGTAGTTGTGCCTGGTCGACCCCGGGGGCGCTGAATGCGCTGCGATAATGGTATCCAGATATTTCAACAGAGACACGGAATCATACGTGAGCAGCGAACTGGACGGGAAGTTAGCGATATCGCGGAATAGCCGGACAGAGCACCGCAGTCGTCCTTACTGTAAAATAGCCCTCAGGACAGTCAAATCACTCACGATTTGCCTGGTTCTGAAACTGACGCGGTGCCATATCGGATCGAGCTGCCGTCTGATAGCTACGTCAAAGTTTTTGTGCAGAGCGCTGTCGACAGTCCAGTCCTCCATGTCGAGGCCTGTGTTGGCCTTCTTGAGCTCGGAAATACTGATCTCGACACATTCCAGTACCGCGTTCTGGATCTCTTTCATCTTGTCTGTCATCGGGACCTCGAGTTCAATGACTTCGGCCTTACGGCGGCCCTCCAAAGACTCTGCAACTGTGACGTGGAATCGAGGCCACAGGGAGGGCTTGCGCAAGAACAGATTCTTCAACATATTGGCCAGGGGCGACCATCCGGTCGTAAACGGTTCGGGGCAGTCTGAGAACGCTTTGAGAAAGCCCGCCTTGTTGAACTGCCGGTATATCCGGATAATAAATGCTTCAAGAGCAGTGGCAACTACTCTGAAAATCAGTGAGCGCGAGTCTTACATCTCATGTCGGCCGTCATACCTCTCCGCATGCAGTACAATCATCCCGGTTATCTTTTCAGGATCGAGAAGCTCTAAGCCAGGCATCAGCACGTATTAATCGGAAAGATATTCAGACACTGCAGAATACGCACTGGACAGCAGATCGACGACAAGGATCCTCGATGTGACACTGAGGATGCCACCTTCCGCATATATCTTCTCCCTTTTTTATCTGTTAATATGATCCGTACCCTCTGTCGGAAACCACGCACCTCATGGGCACGGTAGCCCTGTCGGTATTGATCACCTTCAGCCCTCGAGCGAGGGGCGTCTTGCTGATCGCATAGTGCTCCGCCAGGGCTTTTCAAGGTGTCAGCGATATTGCCATCACGATCCCCATTGTGCAGACAGCGCACCTTCTCCGATCCACTCGTTCTCCCGATCATCCGCTCCGACCACCAAGACTAGATTATTACCCGCGGCGTCATACGAATGGAGGAGATTTGTAACGAGACGCAAGAGGCCGAGGCCACGAGCGAGAATGACGAGCTCATCTTCGGCGCGAAGCTCATTGAAGAGGTCTTGCTGGTATTGCTGGCGAAGAATATCAGTCAGACAATCGGGCCAGATGAGAAAGAGAGTAGAATGGCACTCACCAAGGGCAGAGACAGCTTCACTGGAGGACTCGAGCGTTCAGGCATGGGGAGGTCTGGCGCGACTGACTGGTGGCGCGCAACGACTCGAAATGACGGGTCGTCACGTGCTGGTCGAGTGATGATTGAGTAACTCTACAGGGCACACTAGACAGGCGAGCATTCAAGGACATGGCCATGGAGAGAACGCAGAAAAGATAGGAATTACGAGGAAGTATCGCTTCGAGATATGTGCCATATAGTTGTTCGCGTCAGCTAGCTCTGTATAATAGCATCTGGTCTACAATTGTCCCGCACGTCAACCAGCATTCTCATTACAAGATCAGTTATCGCATGACTCTGTGGAATCGCAAAACGTTAAAGAAAAAAAAAAGACAATAGGTTTCTCTTTCCAGTTCAAACGTCCGATATTCAGGCATTTATTTATTTTTCTTGTCGAGTTCCCTCTTGCGGGCTTCAATTTCTTCGCGAGACGCTTTGGGAGGCATCGCTGCAGACTAATCAGCCATTGTCTCGAGACATAGAGAAGTAGACCGGCTCACTGTCTGGGATCTGAGGGCCTTTGGACAGATGGTCCCTCGCAGTGGCCTTTTTCGATTCCTTGCTGGGCGGGTCTAAGGACGCGCCTCTGTCGTCCCGACTGGAACTAGCAGACGGGGAGTTCTGGGGATCTGACGGGAAAACAGGCATGATTTCGGTTTGTAGACAGTGATTTTCTGATTATTGACCTGCCAGAAATATTCTCCAGACGGGAATGTAATTGAATTGATTCAAACTCAAACTGGAAATGCACGTTGGGAGAGAATTATCGCAGGCAGGCGATGACGTCGTTGCCCACCCGCATGTCTCACAAAGATCCGCATCCGTACGAATAGCAACCAACAGCGAACAGACACCACGATGCGGATGCAGGTCGGGCGGGGCTCATATAGAAATGAAGGAGCCGTTCTTGATGCAATCAATATCTGACAAAATAGGATTAATTTCTCTGAGAAACTCAATGTGTCTGCAGGATCGCAATGCCATTAGGAGCAATTTTACTGTGCAAAAACAATTTACTGAGCTCTATATGGTCCTTCAAGACCAAAGGATCAAGAATCAGGCATCTGTTTTGTGCTGTAGAGTGCTCTAAGGCTGAGTGATATGGATTATTAGTTCTTGTCTGCTGCGCCGCTTCTGCACCAGCGGTGGCTCAGAGCGCTAAGAGTCCCCCACTAGCAGCCGCGCTGGCTGCCTAACTCCACCACCGACCTCCGTTCCCTATCTGCTTCCTGCCTGCCTGTCACTCCCTCCTGTTGCAACAGTCCTCACGAAGGAACTGGGCTCTGGGTTCCTTCCTTACATGTCCACAGCTAGGTGGATTTGTCTTTCTATCGCTGACATCGCTCGTTCTTGGACCCCCCAACCTTAGGTCCAGTTTCTACTTGGGGGCGGTCGCGCCATCGGCTGGCGATGTATCTTCAGCGACTCTAAGTCACGCTCCGGTGCATTGTTTCATTATTCCTGTGAGAATCTCGCTGAGCTACTAGCGGCTCATCATGCCGTCCATTCTCAGTGATGCCGACAAAGAAACTGTCAAGAGAACGGTCCCAAAGCCCGCCAACAAGATCCTCGCCGTGGCTGTTGCGCGACTCTATGTGGCTCACCCTGACCCAACGCGATGGACGTATACCGGTCTTCAGGGCGCCGCAGTCCTGGCCAATGACTTGATTGGTCATACCTTTTGGATCAAGCTGGTAGATGTGTCGGTAGGTGCCTACAGATCTTTATCTCTTCCCATTCAACCTGTTGGATGGCGAAAGCCAGTTGCTGATAGTGGACTGCGTATAGCCCGCCGGTCGAGGGGTCATTTGGGACCAAGAGATATACGATGGCTTCTCCTACAATCAGGATCGCACTTTCTTCCACACGTTCGAGCTCGAAGAGTGTCCCGCAGCCCTTTCCTTCGCCGATGAGAAAGAGGCCAAAACCTTCATCAAGAAAATGCACGAGCGGGAGAAACATGCCAGCAAAGAGACCAAGCAGACCCCGTTCGCGTGCACCAGAGGCCAAGGTCCGGCTCCTACAACAAATGGCAAGGCTCCAGGCCGGTCGCTGTTCGGCAGCTTGCTGCATCCGAATCGTGGCTCGACTCCTACACCACCGCCAGCCCCCGCTCCCGCGGCTCCTCCGGCGCAGAAGTCGGCGCTGGACGACGCTGATCCCTCCATCCAGGGCATCCTCGACGAATTGCGGGAGATGGGAATTACGGAAGAGCAAATCAGAGAAAATCAGGATTTCATCAAATCGTACATTGAGCAGAAACAGGCTGATGGAGTCGATGGCGTAGCAGCCACTCCTTCGCCTCCAGTCGAAGATCAGAGAAAGGGAAAAGCACCTCCGCCGCCTCCTCCGTCGGCTCCCCCAGCCCCGAAGACTACTTCCATCAGTCCCCAGCATACTGGGAGCAGCAGCAGTGGTCGACGCGGCCCGCCCCCTCCTCCTCCGGCGCGGAGAGGACGTGCAGATGCGTCTCCGGGACCTCAAGAACCCGAACCTGCACGAGAACCATCACCACCACGGCCTAAGTTTCGAGCGCCGCCGCCCATTGCGGACGCGGGCAAATATGCCCACACGGTTGGCCCTATCCCGCCTGCGCGACCGCGCGCTGCATCGGGTTCGACCCCTGGACCTCCTCCCCCCCCGCGGCCGCCTAAAGCGCCCTTGGATGACTCTGCTTCAAGTCGATCCGGGGCTCCTCCTGTCCCGGGAGAACGGAAAGTCTCGGCACCCCCTGCTCCTCCGAGTCGCAGTCCTTCTCACGCTCCACCTCCGCCTCCGCCTCG